AGACCCCCCCCCCACATAGGAGCGCGTCGTCGGTGCCCCGCCCAGAGCCCTCCGCGGACGGCGTCTCTTCGTGGCGGCGGGCGGGCGAGCGGCCTCTAGATGCATCCCTCTTAAAGGTCACAGCCCCACCCCCCTCGACACCGCCCCGGGCCTAATGTCACTCACGCACTGTCGAGAATGGACCGACGGCGGCAGTCAGTCAGTCAGTCTGACACACCTCCTAGCATGGAGGACGGGCCCACACGCACACACACGCTGCGCACGATTGGCGCGGGGAGCCGACACGAGGCACGCTGTCACCGGCCTTAGCACTGGGTCCGGACTGCTGGACACACAGCTCACAGGAACGGACAGACGGCGGCGACCAGTCGAAACGCAAGGCCGGGCCCACAAACCTACAACGGGCGTGCACTCACAACGCAGGTCGGCGGAGCGCGCCCCCGCTCTGCGCGCGCTCGCCGAGGCTGCCGGCGCGACCCTCCTCCTCGGAGCGACCCAGCGACCGCGGATTTCTTTTCCACCCCGCGGTTGTCTTTCTTTTTTGTAGGCGCGACCCTCCTCGGAGCGGCTCGTGGCGCCGACCTCGTCCTCGCGCGCTGCTTGCCCGCCGCCCGCCGGAACGCGGGCGTCCGCGCCGCCGCGCGTGCAGACGACGGCCCCCCACCCCCTAGATGCTGTCCTTGTTCGACTAATCCTCGAGAGGACACGAGTTCAGCTGTGCTCAGCTGTGCTCGCGGCCCGTGTGATTGAAGCCGCGCGGCGGTGCTTGGATACTCAGCCAGAGTCTGGCGTGTCTCGCCGTAGGGCCCATCTACGTGCGCGACGAGTGGCTCTTCGAGTCGGTGGCGGCGTGCGAGCCGCTGCCGTGCGCCGGCTTTGAGCTCTGCGACGCACGGGCGGTCTGAAGTCGTGTTTCTGGGGCACTTGATGTTCTCTCCTCTCTCTCGCACCATGGCGATGGCGCTAAGAACCCCCCCCCCCCCCCCGCCGCCGCCGCAAGAGGCGCGCGAACCGCGATATTGCAATAGCGAGACCGAGAGAAGATCAGCAGCCAAGGAGAGGACAGCAGGCTAGAAGTGTAGAAAGAGGAGGAAAGCGCGCAAGGAAGAATTTTCCCGTCATGTGGCTCTTATTGCAATACGTACATTTTACGATTAGCGCGGTCGAGTGCACGGAGCTAAAAGCCGTAAGAGTGCACCTCGCCGCGGTCCGCGGATGCACGATCGATGGACGATAGGGTCTATACCGGGCTCAAAAAGGGACGCACGAGGCAAATCTGATTTTAGAATGTTCCAATAGGAGCGAGGCCTCTTGGTCCGTTGGGGGACCGAGTGAATAGGAAACGAGAATTGCCAGTTTGTCACGCGCGCGCGCGAGCGTGACACTGCACTTGGCGCCGAGCGGGGCCGCGGCTCAGACCTTGTGCAGGCCTCCCCTCGGTGCAAGCACCGCTGCACCGGTCCGGACTGACAGCGCTCGATGTGGAGCAAGCAAGACCCCCCCCCCCCCCATCGGCGCGCGCCCGAGCTTTGAACGGCCGCCAGGAGCACCAAGAGGACTCCTCATGGCTGCTTGCAAGTGTGGGCGCTTCGACTGGCCTCGGCGGGGGGGGGGGGGCGGGTTGTCCCGGTTGCGGACGCCTTCTGCAGCCCCCTGGGCGTGACTCAGCACCCCAAAACTGCCCCTCGGCGGCATACAGCACTGCCAGCCAGCCTCTTCCTCCTCCTCAAGGGCTGTACTATGGCCATATTGCGCCGCCTCCTACTGGCAGCCGGGCGGGCGCGCGCCGGGCGCGCCTCGGCGCGCGCACGGCTCGCAAAGCCCGAGCGAGTACTGCCGCCTGGCCGCCTCAAGGCTGCCGGGCGGCAGTACTCGCGAGCGAGTGACGGATAAAGTCGTGTGAAAGAGCTGTGGAAGCGAAAGTATCGAAATTAATTGCCCGCCGCAGGCGAAGAAAATTTTCAGGGTTTTTTGGTCCCCTACGCCGAAGAAATCGAAGAATTCGGCGGGCGCCCGACGCGGTATGGATGGAGCACGCGCGCTGCCCGGCATGCCTGCAGCATCCAAACGAGACGCACGGCGTCGCTCAGCCGTGTCCACGCGGCTTCGCTCCTGTCCTAACCGGCGCCATCTGGGCGGCTGCTGCGGAGCTGCTGCCGGCGGTGCGGCAACTGGCCGACAGATACAACGCTCAGGGCACCCGCCGGCGATTCACTGGAAAGGAACGAAGGCGCCGCTGTCGGCGATTCACCGCCGTTCGTTCCCGTCTCTCAAGCTGGCTACACCGTCCATGGACGAGGGAGACGTCGCCTCCTCTTTCGTCCCGGGCACTGTTCGCGCCGGAAGGCACTGTACACTGCGAAGTACATTAACCTTCATCCCTCCTACCGCCGGCCGGGAGTGCAGCTTCGCCATCGCTGAGTGAGATTATCCTCGACTTTGGCACCTGCGAAGTAATGAACAACATGCAGTACGTCATATGCAATGGCGCTATGACAGCCCTGCGATGGGCGTCCTCGACGCAGACGAGGCGGAGCTCATCTGCACGGCGCAGATCGCCGACTTTCTCTCTCTCCCTGCGCGAGTGGTTGCGCCACCGTGGATGAGGCATATGGGCTGGGCAGGGGAGTTGGTAGAGGAGGTCGACTGAGGGCGCGAGGCCGCCAATCGTCACAGTCTGCTGCTGACTGTCGGTCGCTGACTGGTTGCGCATTGCGCTGGCCGCGCAGCGGCCTTTAGAAAATTTTGGCCGCAGGCCTAGGTTTTGAAAGATCAAGAGAATAAGCGCCGGTGAGGCTTTGAGAAGCTGCCGTTTGCGGCTTCCTAAGTCAATTTTTCGAGAGGAACGTTTTGGCTGAGCTATAACGCTTAACGGCTCCAAAGTCGCGCGATCATCGAGTTTTGAGTCAATAATTATGAAAGGAAAGGGCTGGCGAGAATTATAGCTCAGCCAATCGATTCAGCGTGCTCTGAAACGCCCAAAACCGTCGAGTTTTTCACCGTGGTCCAAACAGAGAGCTTAATATTTTGATTTTCTTGGCCACGGCCACGATTACCCGTCACTCGCTCTCGCCTCGCAAGGCACGCACCGGCTGCTCTGCCGCTGCTGCGCCGGCGGCTGCTGCGCTGGCCGCTGCTCCCCGGGCGCCCCGCGCAGCGGCGCACCGCCCGCGCCCCGCACAGCCTCCCGCGCGACGTCCAAGAGGCCCGAGCGCGCGCGCCCGCCCGCTCTCCCTCGCGCTTTCTCTCGGCGCAGCGCGGAGAGACGGTCAAAGAAAACACCCCCCCCCCCTCCGCACACAAACGCCCCTGGGGGGCGCGCGCATACCAGTGAGAGTCTCTCGCGAGAGGCACGACAGGGATTGATACACCCACGGGAAGACGGGCCGTAGCGCAATCACCAGATAGCCGTGGTCTGTGGTTGTCCTCTGACAGTGCGCCTGACACGGCAAGTTCAACCCTGGAAGAGCGTCTCCATGAAGGTCGACGTCGAGCTGGAGCCGCCGCATGGGTCGAGGACCGCAAGGCCTCCGAAGACGAGGTCTGCGGGGGTCGAGTAAGGCACGCCCGGGATCTCGCTGTGCGGGCCACCGTCCTGAAAGCCGTCCAGCGCATTGCCGACGACGATGCACGCGATGTCATTGGCGGTGAAGGTGATCTCGTCCTCGCCGCTGTCGGTGTCGTTGTACTCGCCAGGCCGCCGTAGCGCGGAGCGTTCGTTGGCGAATTGCGCGTGGCTCTCCAGGTTGGCGCGGTCTTCCGTGCTCCAGTTGCTTTCGATTCGGAGGCGCTCCAGCTGTCCCTCATAGAATCGCGTGTAGCGCTTCATGCGGGCAAACGCCTCGTACTTGGGTAGCGCGTTGAAGGCAGCGTCGCCATCGATCATGCGCGGGTCGACGATGAGCTCGAGGACCTCCTCCGTCTCGCCCGGGTACATGACATTTTCAAAGTGGCGCCACGACTCGACGTGCGTCTGCCAGGCGGCTGGCGAGGAGAAGGTAAGTCCTCCGCAATGCTGGCAGAGCGTCTCGGGAAAAGGGTGGGCGATCCACACGTCGCTGCGTTCGAGCGGGAGAAGCGCGGCCTCGCCACTCGGGTGGCAGCGGTACTGCGCCTGCCCATCCACCGTCCGCCAGCGTGGAAACTTTGCGGAGTGGTAGTCGGCGGTGTAGAAGGTCGCCTCGGGACCGAAGAGACCGCGCTGCTGCTCCCACGGCAATCCCTTGAGAGCCGCGTACCGCTCACTCACGGCTGCCGCTGTGGTGGACCATCGTACTCGGGCGCCAGCACGGACTGAAGGAACCCGACGTGGTCAAAGGCCTTTTCGCGCATGGCGTCTTCCGAGTCAGCGGCTCTGTACTCGCTGCGAATCTTGTCGACGTGGCGTGACCAGCACTCGTCCGAGCGTCCGACCGTCTTGCAGTCTTTGCTGACGCACATGAATCGTGCGAGGTCCTCGGGTCCGAGTCGGCCGAGCACGCTCTTGACGTCGTCGTTGCTGAGATCGGACCACATGTGTCGCGTTTGGCTCTGTGAAGTGAGGCAGGATGGCGGACCGGTGGAGTGGCCTCTCAGGTGTGAGTGGAGCAGGATGGCGGACTGGCGGAGCCCGGTTTTTTTCTTCCTTTCCTTTAAGGTAGGAAGGTCATCGTCTCCACACACACAAAGTGGTGGGGCAAGAAGGGTGGGCGACCCTCGCATCTCTACGGGGTGTGGTAATGATGACAACAGCGACGGCAAAATGAAATCGTTCCTCACTCAGCTGGACTTGGCTCTTGGGGTCTGTCCGACTGCTCAGCAAGGCCCGATACTCCTCCTTGAGCGTCTCCGCCCTCGAGCTGTTGCCGTCGCACGGATGAGCTCGCGAAGGGACGCCGGCGACGCTGCTGTCAACGTGCCGCAGCAGAGCCACAACACCAGACACAAGTGTGTACTTCAGCGCCTCATCCTCGCCCTACGCGCCGCGTGGGGCACCGCTGTGCGAATGGAGCCGAAAAAGGCCACCTCGGTCAGAGTTACAACAAACAACCCGACGTGGACGCGTTGCAACATTGGCAGGGGCGGCAAGCGCTTTTCAGGCGATGTCAAGGTTGTCTGCCCCCTCACCAGCGGCGGGGAGCATGGTCGGAAGGGCGCCTTTGTCGCTTTTGGCAACACCGAGGCGTTCTACCGGAACATGGTCGAGGGGCATGGGCCCTACCGCGCGGAGGGAGAGGGAGGCGAGGGGGAGGGGGAGGGGGATGGAGGGGAGTGTGAGGGGTATGGGGGCGAGGGAATGGAGGGAGAGAGGAAGAGCAAGGGCGAGAGGGGGCAGGGGACTGGTCGATGGCATACCAGGGGAGGCAGGGTGGTGGGCGGCGATCGCCGCATATCGTCCTATGGCGGCGAGTATCGCTACGCCAGGGAGGACAAGGACGTCGACGTGCGGCTGCTGCTGTTCGAGTCGTTCGTTCGGTGGGTTCGGGAAGGGGGTCGGCGAGATCCTCTGGGGGGCGGCGAACGTGCTGCAGAACAAGCTGACGCGGGCCCAGTACCTCGATGAGGTGACTTGGACCACCAAGAGCTGGCTGGGGCTGCAGAAGCAGCGCATCTCAGTCGTTCTTCACACGGCCATCGCAGAGCAGGTCCTGAGGGAGGGTGTAGAGGATGTAGAGTGTAGAGCGCTGTAGAGCTGTAGAGATGTAGAGCGCTCTGGAGCGCTGTAGAGCGCTGTAGAGCTGTAGAGCTCTACATCTACCGCGTGACGAACTGCCTCCGTTGTAGAGCGATGTAGAGGCGCTCTACAACGTGAAATCTCTACAACAAACTCTATCTAGATACATCAAAAGCGGCGAACGAGGCACGGTCGGTCTCCGACATGAGGCGCGTTGCACTCGCCAGTGCTGCCCTGGCCTTCTGTCTGCCCGCCCAATGGGTGGCAGGTGCCTCTGCTGCTGTGGCATGCCTCACGGCTGCGACTGGCCGGCGCCTCGGCGCGTCAGCTCGGGTCGGCGTAGCGATAGTGGCCAGCGCAACTCGCCTGGACTCAACGCTCAGCCAGGAGCTCCCGCACGCGCTGGCGCGAGGCATGGCGCATGCAACGCGCAGCAATGCTCGCCTCGCCTCGCGCAAATGCGACCGTCCTCGCAGCCGACAGTCCACCGCCTGCTAAAGAAGCACTGCGACGAATGCGGCACCGGCGACGCATGGCAGGCTGGTCATGACGCAGTTATAGGGTGTTGTGTGCCATCAGAGTGACTCTCTGTGTGTCAGGGATAGTCAGGGCCGTCCATCAGAGCTCCAGTAAGCTCGGATACACCCCATTAGCGCGGCTCGACCTCTTTGAGTCACTGCCTCCCCGCGGTTTTGCTGTAGAGCCTCTACAACAAACTCTACAACAAAATCGCGCTCTACATCGCTCTACAACGGAGGCAGTTCGTCACGCGCCAGATGTAGAGCTCTACAGCTCTACAGCACTCCAGAGCGCTCTACATCTCTACAGCTCTACAGCGCTCTACACTCTACATCCTCTACACCCTCCCTCAGAGCAGGTCGTGAATGAGCTTGCCTGTGGCGGGGGTGGGCGGGTGCACGGAGCTAAGTGCCTCGCCGTACTCGCGGGAGTCGCTTAGGCGGCTCCAGTGGTGTACCTGTATTAGTGCCAGTGCGCGCCAGTCCCGTGCCCAGTGTTGTGCGTAGGTAGGTAGGTAGAAAGGTGAAGAACAGCCAGGCTCGGACTGGACACCAACGCGGTATGGGTGGACGCTGGACAGATGATGACGGCACGCACGAGCGACACACAGACACAAACAGGCTCACAAGACACACAGCCATCTGGCTGCCACACACCCTGAGTCGGCGTACACATAACTCAGGGCCACATCCTCCCTGTCGCCCCCCCCCACTCCACGGTGCCAAGGGCACAAACAAGGGCACAACTCAAACAACAGACGACAGGATGTTGTGCGAGGGAGTTCCGTGTAAAATTCTTGCCCCGGCCTCTTGGAGCACTTGGAGCACTTGGAGTGCAGTTGGCAGCCTCACATCCAGCTCCCCCCGCCTTTATCCTCTTCAGACCCAGGTTCCGACCTCTGCGTGGCCGACTCACACAGCGAGCCTTCCTGTCTCCCTGCTGCCGATTCATCGGTGGTGCTCAGTCAAGATATTGTAGAGACCGACCATATGCACAATATCTTGACTGAGAGCTAAGCCCAGTTCGACGATCGGCAGCCTCACCGCGGGTCGCGCCGCTGTGCAGCGAGAGCCAGGCTCGCCCGGCGAAGGTGACCAGAGAGTGCTCAACAAATACCAGAAAAAATCAGGGAGCCTCAGAGAGTGCCACTGCCACCATCCAGGCCGCGGGAGCCGATTGGCTGCGCCGAGGACAGCTCCCTCAGTGTGCTCCGCGCTCACCAGTGTGCGCGTCCAGCACTTTGGCGGCCAGCCACCGGACGAGTTCTTCGACTCTGGAGGACAGAAAGGTACCGTTTGAAAGGTATTTTCATGCTCTATTGACTGGCGAAAAAATCCCCCGCAAAATGTTTTCACAGCGGGCGTGATTCACACCGAAGCATGAGTGAAGCATCGGGTCCGAAGAGGATACTTATATTGCGGGACCGAGCCGACACCGATATCCATCGGTGATGTGCTGCTGTCTCTTCTCGACTGGCGATGCCGCCGACTCGAGCGCACTCCTCGTCGACCGATTGCGGTCGCCGCGCGGGCCGCGGGTCGCTGACTGGAGTCAATGCGAGTGGGGCGAGCAGCTCGGTGCAGGCGCCTTCGCGCAGGTTTGGGCGGTGCGGCTTCCGCCGTTCGGGGACGTGGCGGCCAAGGTCCTCCGAGAAGATCAGCGCGGTGACCGGGCCGCCGCCTCGGACATCGCACGCGAGGCCAGCCTCGTGTGCCGCTTGTGCCACCCTCATGTGCTGCACGGGCTGCTGGCGCACGACCACCCGGCGCACGGCACCGTGCTGGTGCTGCCGCGCATCGCCTGCACGCTCGCGCAACACTTCCGCCCCCCCACGCAGCGCACGCCCTGCGACGACTGGCGGCTCGCGCGCGACTGGCCGCTGCGCCGCGTGCTGCTCGTCGGCCTGCAGCTGGCGTCGGCGCTCGACTACCTGCACGAGCACGCACTCGCGGAGCACCACGTGCTGCACCGCGACCTCAAGCCGGACAACGTCGGCCTGCTCGGAGAGAGAGGGCCGCGTGGCGTGCCCTGCCTGCTCGACTTTGGCTGCGCGCGCATGGTGCCAAAGGCGGCCGCGGCTGCAGCTCCGCGCCGCCTCGCCTCGCCGCCCGCCGCGGCGCCGCCGCCCGACACCGCCGCCGCCGGAGAGGCGCTCGCTCCGCCGGAGATGGGGGCGGCGGCGGCGGCGGCGGAGGGTGATGACCCTTGGAACCTGACGGGGCAGACGGGGGCGGCGCGATACATGGCGCGAGATTCGCCGAGATTCGCCGAGATTCGCCGAGATTCGCCGAGATTCGCCGAGATTCGCCGGGCAGAGACGGGCGCGGTACATGGGTACGGGGCGCGCCGTGCTCCGCAGCCTCCCCACCGGGAGCTGCTTCTGTGCTCTCCGGCAGTGTTTCTTGTCGTTCCTCTAGGCGCCGGAGGTGTACGAGGGGCGTCCGTATGGGAGGCGGCCGGAGCCCCCCCCCCCCCCCCCCAACCCAACTTTTTCTTTTTGCAGGAATTTGCCCAACCCGAACCCAGGACCCTTAGGCGGTCCG